GCTGCCGAGGCGGCGTGGAGCAGCTCTTCAAGCAGCTCAGGCGAGGAGGAGCCGACGTGCGACGCTGAGGCAGACGCAGAGAGAGGCAGCTCAGGAGGCGGCGGCCGCGGGCCTGGGCTACATGCAGGCATCGCGGGCACAGCCGCACACGGTGGCCTACTACCGGGTCATCCTGAGCGAGTTCGAGAGGTGGGCCGAGGAGCAGGACCTCAAGTTGGAGACGCCGGAGGAGATGGACCAGGCCCTGTCCGCCCACATGGACTCGCTCTTCTTCGAGGGCTACAATCACGATCAAGGAGGAAAGTTGATAGCAGCCGTCAAGTACTACGACGTGCACGGGCTATACCAGTCCGTGGAGGCGCTGCCCAGGGCCCGCGCAGCCTTGAGAGGCTTCCGCAAGCGGGCCCCCGGCCAGTCGCGGGCGCCCCTGCCGCGGCCAGGGCTGGCGGCTCTGGTGGGCGCTGCGCTGTTCTTGGGGATGCAGGAGCTGGCGATGGCCCTGGAGGTGGCGTGGTGCGCCTACCTTCGGCTCCCCAGCGACTTGATCTCCATGACCGGCTCTTCGCTCATCCCTCCCCAGCGATCCACGGGGGTGTCTCACTGGGCGCTGCTCCTGTACCACGAGGAGAAGCAGCCCAGGAGCAAGACCAGCCAGTGGGACGAGGGCTGCCTGCTGGACAGCGACAGGGTGACGGCGATGGGGCCGCTGCTGCAGGCGCTGGTACGTCGTGCCGGGCCGAGTCAGCCGTTGTGGTCCTTCTCAGCCGCGCAATTCCGAGTGCTGTTCCGCAAGGTGGCGCAGTTGGCTGGCCTCCCGGACTTGAACCCCTACCAGGTGCGCCACGGAGCCGCCAGCGCCGACGCCCTCCACCAGAGTCGGGACATGAAGACCATCCAGGAGAGGCTGAGGCACGCTCAAGAGTCGTCAACACGACGGTACAAAAAGCACACGAGGTATCTCCGCGAGTTAGACCAGCTGGCGCCCGACACGAAGCAGCACGGAGACTACGTGGATGCCAACTTCGAGGCGCTGATCACCAAGCGCAAGGCCGTGGCCGCGCCTCCAGGGGCAAAAAGGCCGCGGCGTTGGCCGCCGGCCAGCTCTGGCGCTCAGGAGACACTCTTGGCTCTGCCCTCCAGCTGTCGGCCGCGTCGGTCAGACGCAGGCTCAAGGCCTCGTTAGACCAGGCGCTAGGCCGCCAGCCTCGGAGGGCACAGACTTTTCTGGATCTTTTTGCCGGGACAGGCCGTGTCGGGAAATGGCTGGAAAGGTTGAGCGGATTGCCGGCCCTCCGTCTCGACGTCAAGGCTGACCCTGCTTTTGATCTGTCATCCGACGCAGCTCTTAAAGTAGTTCGAGGTTGGATCGGGAGTCGTGTCGCGCGGGCCGTGTGGCTCGCCCCCCCGTGTTCGACGTGGAGCGTTGCCAGCCGAAACACATTCCGCACGCCTCAGCATATATATGGTCGGCCCGACCTCTCTGACAAAAACGCAGTCAAAGTACAGTTCGGCAATGCAACAGCTCTCTTTTCCGCATGTGTGGTTCGTGCGTGCTTGAAGGCAGGGATCCCAGTGGCAATGGAGAACCCCCAGTCTAGTCTCCTCTGGCAGTGTCCCGCCCTTTTAGACCTCACGCGCCTAGACAATTGTAAAGAGTTTGTGACACACATGTGCCAACATAATCGTGCCTGGAAGAAGCTCACTAAAGTCGTGGGGTGGAATGTAGGGGCTCCGCCTAAAGCACTTTGTAAACGGTGTTCTGGGGTCCAAGGGATGTGCAGTCGCACGCTCCGGCCTCGCGTGGCCCTCCAGGGCCGCGGACCCGGGGACCCCAGGAACCTTACAGCCCGGGCAGAAGAGTACCCTGGCTCCTTCGCCCGGGGTGCCGCTTCTTTGCTTGTGCAGGCTGCCGACCGAATCCAGCTCAATCATCTCGCGTCTTTGACTTTGTGAGCAAGCTCATGCGGCTTGGCCAGAATAGATTCGGGAAGATGGGAGCGAGCGCGCTCTGTTATAAGTTCCGTTCGCAGCAAGCACCAGTGTCGTCCACCCTTGGCAGCCTGCTACCTCTCTGGAAAATCATCTGCGTTGGCAAGCGAGAGTGTTCAGAGCAGGGTTCAGTTTTGTCAAACGTTAGTGCTCTAAGTTGTAGCGCAGCCGCCTCGATAAACCGATGTGCATCCATGGACATCGGGCTCAAGTGCACCACCTCCCTCCCCTCCTCCTGCTTGCCTTTCTTTCATTATATGTGTCGTCAAAGCTGGGAAGCGAGCGCGCTCTGTTATAAGTTCCGTTCGCAGCAAGCACCAGTGTCGTCCACCCTTGGCAGCCTGCTACCTCTCTGGAAAATCATCTGCGTTGGCAAGCGAGAGTGTTCAGAGCATATATATATATATATATATATACATATGTATATATATATATGCATATACATATACACCTCTTATGCGCAGAAGCCACTATGCAGCAATGTGTTCATATCCCTCGATCTCTACCTGTCCCTCCCTCAATACATAGTAGTATCCATCTCTCTGTCTATGGATAGTGGTATCTCTCCCGCTCTCTCGCGAACTGTCTCGTGTTTCGGTCCCTCCCTTTTTTTTGTCTCTCTCTCTCTCTCTCTGTATCTCTCCTTTTATCTCTCAATCTCTGTATTTCTACCCATGTCTCTCTCTCTGTCTCTCTATCTCTCCATTCATGCCTCCCTTCTGTTTTGTTCTCGCTCCATAGCCACCTCTATAACATCAGCTCGAGTACCGGTGGGTATAGGTGGAACCACAGACACGAAACGCTCAGAATCACCGTGTATCGCATCGCAAGACTGAACACACGCAGCCCCAGTTTGTGGTTGATTCGTGCCAATCTCCCTCCTAGTATCCGCGCGCGCGCCATGGCTCCAAAGGATCAACGCCGCGCGCTTTCAGCCCCAGGACAGTCCAAGTCAACAGGGAAGGGCCGCCCAGAGGCAACCTTGCATGACCGGCAGTGCAGCACTCTGGCCCACGAGGAAGCTTGCGCCGCCCGGCTCCAGAGCAGCGGCGGCACCGACAGAGCGGCCACACAGCCCACCCACGAGCGCCAGGGCCGAACCCGACGTCGTCCAAAAGACAGCATCGCTCCAACCAGTCCGAGCCGAGGGGCGAGCTGATAATACAGGCCTCCCAGATGGGGTCGGAGCAGATGCGGTCGGTGGATCCCGCCGCATCGCCGATGCATCGACGATGCGGCTCGATGCGGAGACCGCGTTTTCACACGCCGACGTCGCCGATGCATCGCCGACGCCGCCGATGCATCGCCGATGCGTCGGGATGCATTGGCGATGCGGCGCGATCCTTCGACCCCATCTACTCGGACCCCGTCTAGGAGGCCTCTAGATTCGGGGGAGCGTAAGACCCGGGTTTGCCGGGACTCGGGTTCGCCATCGTTTTTTGACGACCGCGACTCGGATTTTGACGAGGAGGAGTTTCGTGGGATGTCTGCAGCGGGAGGCCTCGTCAAAATGCAGGCTCGGCCTCGTCATTTTTTTGACGACCTCGTCGGGGATTTCCGAGTCCCCCGTACCCGGGTCTTACGTCTCCCCGATAGATAAACGTGTGCGGTAGAGCTACGGTCAGCTGCACAGAGCCGCAATGCCCCCGAGCGCGCGCGCGCACAAAACGGGCTCCGGCCGTGACCCGCGAGGACGGCCTCGGCCGCTGCCCTCCCACGCATCGACACCCCTCCTCCTCCCTCCTCCCTCCCTCCTCCCCCTCCCCCCTCCCCCTCCCTCCCCCCTCCCTCCTCCCCCCTCCCTCCTCCCTCCTCCCTCCTCCCTCCTCCCTCCCTCCCCTCCACCCTCCCCCTCATTCCCCTCCCTCCTCCTCCTCCCTCCTCCCCCTCCTCTCCCTCCTCCCCCTCCTCTCCCCCCACTCGACAGCCTGGATGCACGAGACTGGGATGTCCCCGTCGCCCCGGCGCCCGCCGGGGCCGAGGACGGCAGGGTGCCGTGGACGGGCCGGCGGGTCTGCCCCACGGGCGCGCCTGCCCAGGGAGCCTTCGGTGCACTGGCCGGGCACGGCCTCTGCCGTGTTCAGGCAATGGCGAAGCGTCCCGCCTCGCCCATGGCCCCACCAAACATCGGGGGCGGAAAAGAGGGGGGTGATGACTAGGGGGGGGGAATATCATGGCGGGGGCCATGATATTTCCCCAGATTTCATGGCGCCTCTTCTTATTTCATTACGTCCCTGGCCCCCCCGCTGGGCCGCGCACATGCCGCCGGTCATGATTTGCACCCCCCCCTCTTGGACGCCCCCCTCTTGGCCGCTCCCGAAAACAGTGTTCTAAGAACCTTTATGTGGTTCCCACGACGTGTTCTTAGAACATTTCTGGCTGGGACTGTTCTGTTTTCACACATCGGGCTTATGTTCTAAGAACATCGTCGCCGCTCTTAGGGCATGTTTTGGGTTCTAAGAACATTTCGTGGTATGACTATAGGAATGCCGGGACGGTCGGTCCCTGCTCAATGGACCGCCTCCAGATTTTTCGGCGCACACGGGGAGGAGGCTGGAAGCCCCGGCTCCAGGTTCCGAAGGCGGGAGAGCCGCCACTTCCTCCTCCTCCTCCTCCTCCTCCTCCTCCTCCTCCTCCTCCTCCTCCTCCTCCTCCTCCTCCTCCTCGTCCCTCCTCTCTCCTCCCCGGTAACGAAGAGAGTGGCGGCCTTTTCTTTCTTCCTAAGGGAGGGGGGACCTTGTTGCGGGCCCACGGGGCGGCCTGTCAAAGCCACGAAGGTCCTCTCCGAGGGTCCTCCCCCAGGGTTTGTTTCTGACCAATGAAGCTCCTCCTCCTCCTCCTCCCTCCTCCTCCTCCTCCTCCTCCCCTCCTCCTCCTCCTCATCTTCCCCCTCCTCCTCTCTCTCCTCCTCCTCCTCCTCCTCCTCCTCCTCCTTCTCGTCCTCTCCTTCTCCTCTTACCTCCTCCTCCCTTCAGTCGCAGGCGATCTCCCTCCCCCCGCCCTCGTTGCAGGAGGGCTTCAGGGACCCAATGGTGCTGGAGGGGGCCCTGGACCTCGCCGTGGCATACCTCAAGAACTACGCCGTGGACAAGGCGGACGCGCTTCTGCAGCCGCCCTCCCCGCGAGTACTATTCCTCCTCCTCCTCCTCCTCCTCCTCCTCCTCCTCCTCCTCCTTTGCATTCTTCCCCCCAGGAGGAGGAAAAGGAGGACGACGAGGAGGACCCGACCAAAGCAATGGTGCATGAACGATGCTGCAACACACCCTGCCGTGCCAAGCCCCATCCGCATAAATCCACACTAGCATGCAGTTGTGGTGTGGCGAACGCTTCCTCGAAAGACGTTCACTACATGGGCATACTGGTTACGCGAGAGCCCCGTGGTGCAAAGGAGTCGGGCTTTGTGCACCGTTTAGGGAAACGATCAGAAATGACCAGGCACACGAGCATCTCAGCCAAGAAAGTGACAAGCGAGCACCAGATTTTGATTGGCAAGTGCCAACCATCCAGGTAGCTACTACACGTTCGAAGTATCGGAAACTATGTCCAGACGAAGTCTCAAGATAAACAGACAACATCTAAGAAATACTCCATCCATCCGCGTAGCCGTTGCACAACTTCAAGCGTCTGACAGTAAAGGCACATGAAGCCACAGGGGAGCTCACCCTTCTGACTGGGAGACGCCCACCACTCCGCGCAGCCATTGCAAGCGAATGTGCGCGGTGCTCACGAGAGAGCCGCAGCTTGAAAACGTGCTTGCAATGTGCGCGGCGAGCGCAGCATTTTTTAACTTACGCATGACCCACCGGTGCGACTCGTGCCACACGTGATTACGTAAGTGCGAGGCGGTTCTGCGAGAGCCCCATTTTGAGAACGACATGTGCTCAGTCCGCGTACAGCTTCAAAAGTGATGTGCCGAGTGTGCGCGGCGCTTTCTGGCGAGAGGCACATGTTCATATCAGTGCGCGTACTCTTCGTGTACCCGATGCAGGCTTGAGAGGCGAATACGCGCGGCGCTCAGGCGAGAGCCACCAATTGAAAACGACCTGTGCCTCATCCGCGTAGCTGCAGCAACAGTTAGACACGAATGTGCGCGGAGCACTGGCGGGAACCACGTATTGAAAACGGCATGTGTTCCACTGGTGTAGCTCGAAGTTCCAGGCTCGCACCTAGTGAGGAAGTCTCTGGCGAAACGCCTGGCATGCCTTACCGATCCGTCTGGTGGTGCGACGAGGAGGAGCTGTTCATCCAGTGGCCTTCGGCCCATGCAGACACCGTGCCTTGGTTGTTGGTCAGAGCCCTCTTGGATGCTTGCGGGGATCGCATCGGGAGCCTCTCGGGAGGCGGTTTGTGGGGAGGAGGAGGAGGGGGGGGGGAGGAGGAGGAGGGGAGGAGGAGGAGGAGGAGGAGGAGGAGGTAGGAGGAGGAGGAGGAGGAGGAGGAGGAGGAGGGGAGGGAGGAGGGAGGAGGAGGGAGGAGGGAGGAGGGAGGAGGGAGGAGGGAGGAGGGAGGCGGGAGGGAGGGAGGGAGGGAGGGTGGGAGGGGAGGGAGGGGGGAGGGAGGGAGGGGAGGAGGGAGGAGGAGAGGAGGAGGAGGAGAGGAGGAGGAGGAGGAGGCAGGAGGAGGAGGAGGGAGGAGGGAAGGAAGGAGGAGGAGGTGGGAGGAGGGAGGAGGGGAGGGAGGAGGGGAGGGAGGAGGGCGAGGAGAGGAGGGAGGAGGGAGGAGGGTAGGAGGGGGAGGGAGGAGGGAGGGGAGGGGGGAGGGGGAGGAGGGAGGATGGAGGAGGGAGGAGGAGGAGAGGAGGGAGGGGAGAGGGAGGAGAGGGGGGAGGTGAGGAGGGAGGAGGAGGAGGAGGAGGAGGAGGAGGAGGAGGAGGAGCAGCAGGAGGGGGGGCTCTGGGGCCAGAAATCCCCTTGAGGACTTCGGGGGCCTGATTCGGGCCTCTCTCCTGCCGGAAGCCTCTGGGGAGCTTCTCGGTGGCCTGCGGGCTGTCTCGGAGGTCCTCGTAGGGCGGACAGCTCTCTTGCTTCGTGTTCCCCCTTCTGGGGCCTCTCTGTGGCCTCTCTTGGGGCCCTGTTGGGGGCCTCTTGGGCCGGCTTGGGGCACTCGTGGGCCGTCTCGGGACCTGCTTGAGGGTCTCTTAAGGGTCTCTCGAAAGTCCCTTGGGCCCTCCTGGGGCGATCTTGGGGGCCTCTTGGGCTGCCTTGGAGCCCTCTTGGGTGGCCTCTTGGGGGCCTCTTGGAGCCCTTTTGGGGGGACCATTAATGAGTCGGGCATCTCGGAGCCCTCTTGGGGGGCCTTTTGGAGCCCTCTTGGGGCGTCTGTAGGGCCTCTTTGGGCCGTCTGCTAGACGTCTTGGGCGTTTTAGAGCGATCCTCAGGTGACTTGGGGCGCTCTTGGACCGTCTTGGGGGGCTATCGGGGTCCTCCTGGCTCATCTTGGGGCCCCCTGGCTTTTGAAAAAGTCACGCGGAACATTGCGCCAAGCTCAACGAGGCACGCGGCGCGTTCTGGAGGAACAGCGAGTTTGAGTTCCGGGCTAGTACCTGAGAACACTCCAACTCGTGTCTCAGGGCACAGAGGCGGATCAGGAGGATGGTGGGGGGAGGAGAATGTGGAGACGTGACTTGGGAAATGCTCACGTTTGGGGGTCGCTGTGGAGTGAGGGGAGGGGCTCGTCTCCACTCTTCGTCCTCCTGCTGCCTCCTGCTGCTCGGCGTTGGTGTCGCTGCTGCTCCTCCGCCTCAGCCTCAGCCTCCCGAGCCTCCTCATCAATCATCTTCGGCTGGCGCTCCCCATGGGGGCGGCACCCGCCCGGCAGTCGCCAGCTGCCACTCACGCCTTCGAGGAGGGCCGAATTTCCCTCCCCTTCCCCATCCTGCTCCCCCTACCTCATCCCCCTACTCCTCCCCATTACGTATACACTCCTTCCCTCCTCCACCTCCTCTTCTTCCTCCTCCTCCTCCCTCCTTACCTCCCTCCCTTTCTCCATCCTCCATCTATCCTCCTCCCCCCTGCTCCTCCCCCGTCCATCCTCTCCCCTCCCCTCCCTCGTTCGATCCTCCTCCTCCTCCTTCTCCTCCTCATCCGCCTCCTCCTTCCTCCTCCCGACAGACAAGGCGGACGCACTGTACGCCGCGATCGAGCCGTACTGCATGGAGCGGGGTCTGCCGTGGGACGTGAAGTGGTTGCAGGACCTCTGGGGCTGGGCGGCTCATCCTGCTCCTCCTCGTCCTCTTCCCCCACCCCCTCCTCCGACTGAAGTCTCCTCCTCATCATCATGCTCCTCCTCATCATCACCATTATCCTCCTCCTCCTCCTCCTCCTTGTCCTCCTCCTCCTACTCCTCCTCCTGCTACTTCGAAGAAGGAGCAACTGCATAAACATGTCCCGAGGTCTGCGCGGGTTTTTGGATCGGCGTTAGACCCTCTGGCGGCGCCTCGGGCGCCGCATCTGGCGCGTTCCGCGCGCCAGGAAGATGGGTTCAGGACAGATCAAGAATTACGCGCGGACCTCCGACAGTGTATATGTTTATGCAGTTGTGTCGCCCTCTACTGCTGTTGTTATTTTTCCTCCTGATCCTCCTGCTCCTCCTCTCTCTGCTCATCCCCACGTGGAAGGAGGAGGTGGAGGAGGAGGAGGAGGAGGTCAAGGACCGTGCCTTGGTGGGCCCTCGTCTTTTCCTGCCTTTTTGCCTGTCCCGACCCGCTGCGCCAGCCAGGTCTGATTGGCGTCTCGCTCCGCTCAGTCGGCGTTCTGTTTACAGGCAGCTTCACCAATGCTTCAGGCATCGGTCCTAGCTTTGCGCAGCGGCAAAGAGGAGGTCTGGTAGGAGCAGGAAGAGGCGCAAGATCGAGCCTCGGGTGTGTCGCGGCGGCTCTCTCTTTCTGAGCCTTCCGTGGGGCGCCCTCGCAGCCGCGGCGGCAGTGCCCCCGAGGTGCAGATCGGAACGCACCCCAGGAGAAGTTTGGTGGTCGATTATTTGTTGGGTGAATTTCAGAATTTGGTAGTTGCACACCGGGTGGAGTGAATTTGTTCGATTATTTGTTGGGTGAATTATTGTTGGGTGAATTTCAGAAGTTTGGTGGTCGATTATTTGTTGGGTGAATTTGTTCGATTATTTGTACTCGCCGGTCGCTGGAATTTGGTAATGTGTGGGATTTCCATATCCCAATCTACGTCAGGTGCCTCCCTCCTTCAGGACTCGATCTGCCTCTGCTGTGCTCTGTTCCTCTCTGGGATTTCCATAGCCCAATCTACTTCATCCGCCTTCGTACTCCATGTTTTTTTTCACTCACCTGTTACCACCGACGAGTAGCCTTCGAAGCGTCGCGATGACAACAAGGACGACGCGTTTGTGTTTGCCCGCTTCGCGCCTCCAGGGGCCGCCCTTCCAAAGAAACGGCCCCCCCCCCCCCCCCGCGCGACGGCAGATTAGCCCATGAGTCCTGGGGAGATTCGTCGTGAGCAAAGGCGACATCGGGGGGTCTTGGTCTTCCTCCTCCTCCTCCTCCTCCTGTTCTGCCTCATCCTTCCCTTCTTCTTCTTCCTCCTCCGCCTCCTCCTCCTCCTCCTTCTGTTCTGCCTCATCATTCCCTTCGTCTTCCTCCTCCTCCTCCTTCTCCTCCTCCTCCTCCTTCTGTTCTGCCTCATCCTTCCCTTCTTCTTCTTCTTCTTCTTCTTCTTCTTCCTCCTCCTCCTTCTGCTCAGTCTGCGAAGGTCCTTTGTTTCCAGCCGAGGGGTTCAGATACCCGCTCTGCGGACCGCCTCACTCACTCATTCATCTTTCTTCTCCTCCTCCTCCTCCTCTTCTTTCTCCACCTCTCCTCCCTCCTCCTCCTGCCAGGAAGCTGGGTTTACGTGAACTGGCCAGCTCTGTCGAGGGAGTATCCTTCCCCCGCTACGCCTGTTGTGTGTGTGTGTGTGTCTGTGGCCAGGCCCGCCGTGCCTCCTCACCGCTGGTCAGCGCCGGGCCTCTGCCTGCTCGGCACGTGCACCATGCGCTGTCTGTTCGCGCGTGCGTCCCAGCCTGAGCGCCGCGTACATTCTCTTCGAAGGCCTGCAACACGTACGGTCGGCCCGAGGCATGAGATCGAGGTCGGCTCGGGCAGGGCACCCTGATCTGATTCGTGCTTGTTGGATGTTCTCGTGCATCCTGGGGGAGGGCACCCTCGAATGTGCTTCAGTCTGGCTGGTGGAGGGTCTCGTGTTCTCGAATGATGCGTTTCTGTCTTAGGTCAGGCTGTACACAAATGGAGGGTGGCTAGTTGGTAGTTGGTCCAAATAGCAGCGTCGGCGGGGAAGTACTGTAATGTTACAACCGGGCGGTCAAAATTGCGCATCAGCTACACGGCTGGAGGGCGGCTCTTTTTCACAATGATTCTCTCGCTTAAGAATGCCGCAGGCTCGATGACCAGATCATTGCGCAGCAATTACACGCATGGAGGGCGCATCCTTGTCAAATATCGGCCCTCGCTGCACACTCACCTGCACTATATGATCCTACCTCTCTGCTGCTTCCTTTAACTACACGGGGGGCGGATGGGGCGGGGCGTTCGCCAGAATCGCCGTCGTCAGCATCCCCGCCAGTACAGTTGGGAGCACCGGCGCCAGCATCGTCCCAGCGCGCGCGAGTAGTGCAAGATGTTAGGTCCCGCTGGAACCGTCAGGCACCCACAGGAGACCCAGGACGTTGCGGGAACCTGGGTGGCGAGCCTTTCGGCAATCCCGCTCCCCCAGGTGTCGCTGGACCCAGCCCCGCACCGCCGCCAGGCATGACGGGATGCAGCGTGGCCATCCCTGGGTGCTGACCAACCTCAGGTTGAGGCTTGCGGTGGCGGCGGACGGTGCAGGAACCTGGATGGAGAACCTTTCAGCAGCCCCGCCCCCCAAGGCGTCGCTGGACCCAGCCCCGCACCGCCGCCTGGCCTGTCGGGATGCAGCGTGGCCAGCCCGGGTCATGCTGCTGAGCCTCAGGCTTTGGCGTGCACCTATGCACCTGTCTGTGCGGCAGTTAGCCGCAACCCTGACATGACTGGAAACGAGAACGCAGACCAGCTACTTGGCTCAGACCCGGCTCGTCCTGGAGAGCCCTCGTCGCCACGGCCAGCTTTTCGGGAAGTCGAAGGAGGGGGCGGACCTGGCGCCGTTGCTTGTCGTGGAAAGCCAACGTCGCCACTGTCGGATTCTCGGGGCGCCGGAGGAGGGGAGCATCCCGCTACCGCTGCTCCTCCTGGAAAGCCTTCGTCGTCACGGCTGGATATTCGGGAAGGCGGAAGATGGAAAGATCTTGGCACCGCTGCTCGTCTTGGGGAGCCCTCGCCGCCGCCGCCGGCGTTTCGGGGCGTCGGAGGCTGGAGGGGATCCTGCTACCGCTGTTCGTCCTGGAGAGCCCTCGTCGCCACGGCTGGAACGCGGAACCGAGCTGCCCGGGCGCGATGCAGACCCAGGCGGGCCCCAGCTCAGTCACCCCATCTCTGCCGCGAAGGCACTCGAGGCGGAGCAGGCTGCCGAGCCAGACGGTGACAGACTGGACGGTGTCGAGCTCAATGCCTTGGCGGTCCGCCGGCTGGTTGCCAAGGATCGTTCCGCCCTTCTGCGGCCCCCGACGCGGGAACGCCACGGATGCGACCGACACGCAGGCCGGGCCGCTGTGGACGACGCGCCGGCGGAGGCTCGCCTCCCCTGCGCCCCCAGGCCCGCCGTGCCCTGCTGGGTGGACCAAGTGGACGACAACGATGCCGATCCCGACGCGCACGGACCCGACGCCACAGCCGACGCCCAGCCCCGCACCCTTCCCGATGCCCCTCCCGACGACGCCCCGCCCGGCGCCCCCCGCGATGGCGCCTCTCAGGGCGCCCTCCCCGACACGTGCCCCGACGCCTCCCCCCCCCGCGCCCTGCCCGCCGACGCCCCCACCTGCGCCCTGCCTGCCAGTCTGGTCCGGGCGAGGTGTCCGTTTTTGCGGCCCGCCACGTCAGCGGCTCAAGCCGACGAATGGGCCGACGAATGGGCCACCACGGACACTCGGGCCGAAGGAAAGGGTGGGATAGGGCCGAAGGGGTGGGATAGGGCCACCACGGACACTCGGGCCGAAGGGGAGGTTACGAAATCTGCTGGAAGCAGCTGGTTTCAGCCCCGCCGCCGGGCCCATTCCTCAATACATGGGCGCCTCCCGGCGCCGGGAGGCGCCGGGAAAATCAGCTGCGTGAGCCGATTCTCAAACCGTAGCCCCCCTTTGCTATCCCCCCTTTCGCCCGGCCCGAGACACGCATCCGCACGTGAACTTTCTGCCCGCTCCCGAGGCGCTTCGCACTTCCTTCTGACGACCGCCATGGGCGGCTCCGGCGCCGCGGGCGGCTCCAGCGCCTGCTCACGAGTGGGAGCTCCTCGGCCCGCACGGCGCGGGCTCCAGCAACTCGTCGAGGACACCTGGGCTGCGTTGCCAGACACCCGCGTCCAATGGGACCCGTTCGCCTCGGACTACAGGAAGCAAGGCAAGGCGTGGGCGCGTCCTGAGGATGTCCCAAATCGCGCCCTGCTCGACTTCCTGAGCTCGAGGGGGGCCCATGTGGCCCGGGTCAGGAGGACACAGCCGAGAGGGGGTGAAAGTGGGGCATCCTGGCATAAATCGAGTCTGCGCTCGGCGTGGATGCAATACCCGCGACCCCAACTGGCACGATGTCACTTTCCTCCGACGTTTCCGCCACCAGCATGCGCTGCTGTGAGCCATCCATACGCGGCTGCTCCACAGGGGGGCCACTTGCGCGGGGTGTAACCGACGCCTGACCTACCACGTAGTTCCTGGGTCCACAGGGCGTGTCACCAACCCACCTGGACTGTGGCCACCGCGAGGCGCCTTCTGCCCCACAAGGTGCCCCGCGTCTCTGGTGCGTTTCGCTCGGCGCGTCTCCCACCTCAAGCGGCGAACACACACTCCAGCTCTCGGGCGCATGCGGTGCGTTTGGCCATGCTGTAGGCGTGCCCCGGCTTCTGGTCGACCTGGCCGTCCACCCGTTAGGTGCGTTCTCACGGGCGCCGGGCACGGCATCCACCCCAGATGAGGCGCCTCCCGCCCCTGTCCGCCTCGCGGCGGTATTCACCTGTCTGTGCACCGGTTGGGTGCAGTTCACGTTGCGCGCCGTCCACCCCAAGTGGTGCGCCCGCTTCCGCCTCGCGGGCGCGGCTTCCACCC